CTGCTGACAGGAGAATAGAAAGGAATAGCTATTTATAACGGTAGGCTACGACCAAAAAACAAGTAATTATTTAAATGACAGCAGGGGGAGCTGATATATATGAATTAAGTATTTAAATCAGCAGCCTCTATACAAAAATCCAATACAAGCAATTTATCATACTGATATCAGTAATGGAAAGGGTTGATTGAAACAGTTATCATGCATTTAACAGGTCAAATCATTAGCAGTTTTATCTTACTTCACATTCTATTCAGCGTTGAGCAGATGAGACAAGCAGCAATATACCATGAACAAACTCATACGCACAGCAATCACCCCAACTTGGGTTAAGAATTCTTACAACATATTCAGTCTTACTACTAGAAAAGTAAAAAGCCTACCCATAGTTAGACAGCCTCAGATAACAAGCAGTGTGAAAAAGCTTTCAATCCTAGTTCCATTAACAGAATATATTATGACAACAGTATCTTGAAGTTGAGGTCATGTAAAGCAAACAACTTTTTAATGTAGGTTAGGAAGACAAAAATATTTAGATGCCTGTTTCCAGAAAAATATTCATGTCAAACAGTGGTCTGCAAGCAAGCCAAAATATATTCCATTCATTTATGTATATGCATGCGTACGCATTCCAAATAAAACACTACATTATCCACAAAAATAAATCGCAGAAAAAAATACCAAGATGCAGTTTTCTTGTCCATTTTCTTCAGCATATTTTTTCCTATTTCTGAAGCCTTTACTTTGGATGACAGAATTTTCTTTACACAGGAACTCAGCCGCAGTGGCTTCTGTGGATGTTTTAGGAAAGTGATGGCTGTTTAAAACTGAAAAATGTCAATAGGAAAAAAAGCAAAAATATTTTCTTACTCTGAGCATGACACCAAGTATTATATATTAATAAAATAGCCTTGCATAGACCCTATGCAACTAGTACATATACAGCTAAAATACGAGTATCGGAAAAATCTGATTGAATTATAAGTCTGATTGCCCTTTATGAGCACTTTCCAAATATTAATTTTAAACTTGGTCTTGCCAACAAATTTTCCCAACCAATTTTACTTACATGAATAATCTAGCAAGAACAGGATCTAATATTGGTGATTTTAGAATGGGGTGCACAAGTTGAAAAGAATTTGAAAAGAGTCATTTTCATAGCGCAATATACTAAGGAAAAAACCCACAAAACCCACTTACCACCACCTGCCTCCAACAACAATATCTTGTTTCCCAAGAGAAACAAGCATGTATCTGATTTGCCAATACCCTTCACAAGACACCGAGCACTAGAAAGCATCCGAATGGGACAAGTTAACATACACTGTTACAGCACTTGCTATTTCAGGTTCTAAGGCTAAGAAGACAAAGCTGCAAGGTTGGGCATAATTGAGAGCAGGACTTTGCCACACAATTATGGATTAAAGATTGATACATATTTCAGGAACCAAAAATAAGATTGGTTGGAGTCATCAAATGCACAATAAAAACCCTTAAGACCGTTCAAGAGGTTATTGTATGGAGACCTCGGGAACTTAATGAACATTATGCTTCTCCATCCAAGAAAATACTTCTGCTAAATCTTCTCATACTGAGTACTGCACAGTAAATGAGATATAATGTAAATAATTACTGTACAAATGTCAAAATCTTACTAAAAAAAAGTGTGGGGGGATATATGTTTACAGCACTTACACTTTACTCCAGTATCAAGCTCAAATGCACGGATAACTTCCAAGAATCCTTCAATTAGTTGCTTAAATCTGGAATTTTCTTTCAGGCTTCTGAAATAACATCACATCCATTGTTTTATGACAAAGGAGTAAAACTCCAAAGTGGAAGACAAGATAATGAAAAATTGTTGCCAAGAAACATCATTGCAATATCCCAAAATAACCACTACTATGGCAGTTAAAACCATCGCAAAAGTGAAAATTTCATAGGTTTAGCACAGAAACTCGTTGTAACGACTGAACAATAATACAGTCCATACTTGATAGCACAAGCATTTGTTAAGAATGGTGTCTTCACCTACAGTAGCTTGAAAAAAGCTTATACTGTGGTAAGGTGCTGAAGAGTTACTGCTTAGAAGCTGGCAATTTACTCAGTAACCACCTTTTCTTGTTTATTTCACTGCTAGGACATGTTAAGACAATGATTAACTTTTCCTTAGAGTTCAAACGTCTCCTCCTCAAGCCCACTTGCAAAGATGCATTACCTCTTGGTGACGTCAGTCTTACACAGAGGGCACTGGACCACACCTTTTTTCTTTTCGCTGAGGAGTTTGAACATACAGAACCTAGGAAAAAAGAATAATCACAATAATAACAAAAGGGAAGATTTTATTGTCTTTGAAACTGAGCCTTGGCCTGCACCACTTAGTGGAAATCCCTCATTATCAAGTTGAATACCAGTATTATTGTTCTAGTGTTAAATAAAAAAATTAATCAATCCCCTTTGACACATTATGAAACTGCAGCTATTTCTTATTCAGAATTGAATTTCCCCCCAAAATAGCTACACACTAAGTTAGCCAGCAAAACACAGTATACTACATTAGCACTAAAGCAGCGTACATGGAGAATAAGAACAGATTGACTGAGCATCACAATTACAAGTTTGCAAACCTACCTGCAGAATATGTGATCACATTTTGTTGACACTGGCTCTTCTACCACATCCAAGCTACCAAAAGAAAAATGAAAGAAAACAAGGACACAGAAATTACATATAAAATAGGAACAACAAAACAAGATGCAGAAATACACTCACTTTGTGAGAACCACATACAGTAACAAATAATCATTATGTGATATACATGTTTGGTAACACTGCACAGACTTTGCCTCTGACAAAAAGAGAGGCATTTTCTGGACACACCACTTCAGCAGGGCAGGAAACATGGTGTTAGAACACTGTCTTAGTTTTTAATGCTGAGTAAAGGACAGTGCAGTTTTGCTAAGTTCTTGTCTACCCAATGTGAAAATTAACATTTAACTTCATAGTAGAGCTTTCAGGAAAGCTCTAACAAATCCACTTGTTCAGCTCACTTTAAAATATAGTCTACCTTGAATACATGCTAAAACAAAAATACTTTTAAAATACTGCTCTAATTTAGGCATACATTGTGTTACAAACCCTAGTTACAGAAGAAAGATTTCACAAGCTTCATAGATTGTATATGCCTCCCCGTGATTGTGTTCTGTCTACAACCTAGCAGGATGTAAAAATGTTTATCTACCCCAATCAGATACATTTTTTTCCTGACTGGATAGAGGGCTGACACGTTTAGGTTGTAATAGAAAACTAATACTTACTAGAACATAAAAGAGCAAAACACAGGTTCTATCTTGCAGTTCTCATGTGAGCCTTACAAAGCATCAATACATTTAGCCTTACAATACAATTATTTTTTATTTCTAATAAACCATATGTCTGACAAAGCGTTTGAAAAGAAAGTAAAAGAGAGGGAGGAAAACAAGACTCATTAATTATACTAACATAGAGCTCACATTATTCTCCCACCATACCATATCGGGCACTCCAAGTTCTTCTGCATAGCTGAAAGCACATTTTGTACATCTCCAACAGGAATCACTGAGAAGTCCATCCTTCACATCCAGAAACACTCTACAAAAAAAAGAAACAGTTTTTTCTGACCTGTTGCATCCTGTAACCATGTTTTCTCCTATATGACTTTTCTATAATATGCTGAACAGCACCGAATACTCAGCTACCATTTCTTGAGTGAGGCTTCACAGCATCAGCAAAGTTCTTACGCTGAGCATTTCCAGTTAAAACCTGTCGAGTCTCTGGTAGCCAAGGGGGAAAACTGAAAGGGTTTACATTCTGCACAAACTCTGCAAGGGCACACAGAAGCGTAGCAACGGGGGAAAAAAAGAGCTTCCTAGGAGTAAAAGGATGTAACGGGGAGAGCAGGCGTGCTCAGGTGAAGGACGCCGGGACCCACACACAAACCAGAACAGGCAAGGCCCCGCAGTACGTACCGCCAATCCCGACAGTAAAGAGAAGCCGCTTAGCCTTTATGCGGCGGCAGCTCGGGAGCAGGAACAGACC